GGGCAGAGGGACTCTAGTGTCGTTTAAGGAAGCAGAGGGGCTCCTAGGACCACGTGCTGAGGAGACGGCAACCCCACACGTCCTGTCCCAGGAGTGGAGCCCCACTGTCTCGGGGCCAGACTGGGCGTATGGGCGTTTGCCGCGTGGTTGCCTCTCCTCTCTGCAGGCCTGCCCGGCCCTCCTTGATGCTCCCAGCACCCCACTTCCGCTTTCTGAGGCCATGGGAGCCCCAGGGCCTGCCGGGGCTCGGCCAGAGGAAGCTGGGCTGGGGTTCTTGCCAGCACCGCGTGCATGAGGAAGTGGTGCCTGTGTGCCCCTGTGAAAGCTGGGGGTGGCCTAGAGCTCACCCTCCCTGGGACCAGCAGGGCCCCCCGGAGAAGCCTGCCCTGAGGGCCCCTGAGGGCTCCACCCCGAGCTGAACCGTGGAGTCCTAGCCTCCTACTAACAGCAGCCCGCATGGCTCTGCAGCCTGGGCCCAGATGGTCAGGGCTTGGGAGAGGAGCCTCAGTTCTGTTCAGTCACAAGGAAAGGAGAAGAGGGTGTGTAGGGTGTAGTTCAGAGAGCTTCCTGGAGGAGGTGGCCCTGCTGGATCTCCCTGGCCTGACGTTGCTCAGCAAGGGAGAGGGGAGGTCCCCAGTGGGTTCTGCTTGTCCTCCTGTGCCCCTGGCTGAAGCTCTGGCCATGGTCTAGTGGCAGGGCAGGCTGGGGAGTGCGGGCATTTTGAAGTTTGAGGGACTGTGAACATCGGGATGTTGGTGGTCCCCAGGTGGCCTGTGCTCAGCTCCCAGCTCTCTGATTTAGAAGCTGTGTGACCGGGGCAAGTGACGGAAGCTCCCCGTGCCTCAGATGCCGCATCAGTGAACTGGGAGGAGCAGTCAGATCCACAGGGCAGGCGTGCAGATCTGAGGAAGTCACAGAGCCCGGCACACAGAAAGAGCCTGGGAGATTTTGCTTACGGCTGTATCACGAGCCCTGGGGCTGGGGACCGCTCAGAGCCACAAGGTGGCCTGGGTGTGGAGAAGTTGATTCCCCCGACGTCTGTGTGCACCTGGCTTCCCTAGACCCCTTCCAGAGGGAGAAGAGTCCTTGGAGGCCCACGGGCGGGGTACGGGGAGCGTCCCTTCTTGTGCTTCCCTGCAGGGGCCTGGGCCGCAGGGACAACAGTTAACTGGGAGGGGATAGGGATGTCCCCTCCCTGGCCCAGCTCCTTCCAGAGAAGGTCCTAGCTAGCCAGGGCAGGAAGTGTCTGCAGAACCTATTCTCAGCTCTCTGGGGAGTGGGACCCCCCCCCACCGGCTCTGGTCCCACGGGGCTTAGGCGTCCGCTGGATCAGGGTGTCTGATGTCCACCTTGGGACTGGTGGTTGCAAATGACAAACTGAGACTGGCTTCAGGGAGTGACTGTCCCGTGTGATTGGCATACCTGGTGTTTGCTTGAGCTTCAGGTGCAGCTGGCTCCAGGCTTGGGCTGTTGTGACAACAGCCTCTGTCTCCCTCCAGCTCTCCATGTCGGCTTCCTTTCCAGGTGGGCTGTCTCCTTGTTGCAGCTCGGGTGTGTGCTGGCAGCTCCGGGCCCCGGACAAAATAGCACCTCTTTCTTTCCCTGGGTCAGCAAAAGTCTCAAGAGGATGCTCACTGGGGTGGTTTTGGTCATGGGGGCTTCTTGGCCATATCTGGGTTGTGCGGCCCCTGAGCCAGGGGACTGACATGGTGGGGGTCAGCGGAGGGCGGGTGTTACTCAGCAGAAGCACGAAGCACCCTGCCCCAGCTGGGCTGTGGTGGGGGCCTCTCTCAGGGGCTGGGTCTCCAGGGTAGACGGGGGGTGTGGATGCCAGGGAGGGACCCAGCGGGTCACGTGTCTCCAGGTGAAGGGGCAGATTCCTGCTCTTGGTGGGAAGTGTGGACAGGACTATAGGGGTGGGGGTGGGGCGGGAGGCAGGGCTTGGCTCCATACAAGGTGTAGGGGCTAGTGGTGGAGGGGATGCTTTGCAAAGTAATGGGCTCCCCGTCACTGAGTTTTGCAAGCTGAGGCTTCAGGGTCATTTGCTGGGGACGTGGCATCCAGGGCTTCCAAAGGCCCCTCTTGGTTGCCTGCAGGGTCAGTGACTGGGCCTCTGGGCCTGGCCCCCTTCCCCCTGGGGCAGGGGTGGCTCCCAGGTGGGAGGGGCCTGGTGGTGGGTCCCAGGGCCACCTCTCCAGGAGTGATCAGCCCCCCCCCCCCCCGACTTTGCTGCACAAGGCACGGCTTGTTCAGGAGCTGGCCAAGGTCCTTGGATGGGCCAAGGTCCCTGCGCCCAGGGCTGTCCATTGTCCACCTCCTTTCCCTCCGGCTGTTGCCCGGGGAAGTGGCCTAATTAGATCCCTGAGAGCCGTGTTTACCAGGCCTGGGTTCCCACGGGGCCTTGGGAACCTCTCCATGCCGGGGAGGGCAGGGCGGCATCTGCGCGCAGAGAGTGGCCTGGGCTCAGTGTGTGTGCTTGGCCCTGTGTGCAGGCTCCCATGTCGGGGCCACAGGGGGTGCCCGGGGCGTGGAGCAGCTGTGGGGCGTTGTCCCAGGCTTTGCGGTTAAGCAGCACAGGTGTTTGGCAGCAGGGCAGAGGGGCAGGCATTTGCTATTGGTGTGCTTGTGTCATCTGTGCCGTCCCCAAGGGTGTCAGAGGGAAGCCTGGGCCATGGCTTTGAATCTCAGCCCTCCTAGCAGCCGGCTCCTGCCATGTGATCCTTGCCCCTCTGGGCTCAGTTCTGCGACCCTAAACTGGGTGGGCAGCTCCGCCTTTGCAGGCTCTGAAGACGAGCAGGGGGATGTGTGTACCGATGCGCGGTGGGACAGGAGTCGCTGCTGTCCTTACTGCAAAGCACTGTTTTTCAAATAGTTTTGGGGCTGGCACCTTGGTGTGGTGGGTGACGCTGCTGTCTCTGGCACTGGCATCCCTGTGGCTGCCGGCTTGGGTCCCAGCTGTTCCACTTCTGATCCAGCTCTCTGCTGGTGCACCTGGAAGGGCAGTGGAAGACGGCCCAGGTGCTTGGGCCCCTGCTGCCCACGAGGGAGACCAGGAAGAGGCTTCTGGCTTCACCTGGCACAGCCCTGGCCGTTGTAGTGAACCAGTGGATGGGAGATTCTCTGTCTCTCACTGTCTCTCTCTCTCTCTGCCTTTCAAAATAAGTAAATAAATCTTTTTTTAATAAATATTTTAAATTAAAAAAATATTTTTATTTGACAGGTAGAGTTACAGAGAGTGAGAGGGAAAGACAGAGAGAAAGGTCTTCCTTCCGTTGGTTCACCCCCCAGATGGCTGCTATGGCCGGCGCTGCGCTGATCCAAAGCCAGAAGCCAGGTGCTTTCTCCTGGTCTCCCATAGGGTGCAGGGCCCAAGCACTTGGGCCATCCTCCACTGCCCTCCCGGGCCACAGCAGAGAGCTGGCCTGGAAGAGGAGCAACTGGGACAGAACCCGGCGCCCATATGGGATGCCGGCGCTGCATGCGGAGGATTAACCAAGTGAGCCACGGCGCAGGCCCCAAAACAAAATTTTTTTTAAAAAAAGATTTTTTAAAGATTCCTGAACCAGAAGAAGAAATCAAGCCAAAATTGAAGAAGAACAAAGAAAATGGAGACCCAGTCCAGGGGGTCCCTCCACATCCGATGACTCAAGACGGCCGAGGATAAAGAAAAGCACCTATCTCAGTGATGAGGAAGAGCTCAGTGACTGAAATGGCATTTACTGTGTAAATGTCCCTAAGATAGAAAAGCCCGGGAGTGTACAGTTCAGCTGAAGGCCATGGTTACTTTTAGAATTTGAGATAAAAACACTTAATACCAAACAGTTTTTTACTAGAAAGTAGTTCATAGGAAATTTAAAAATAAATGGAAAGTATGATGTTTCTCTCTTGCCTTAGCACAGTACAGTTTGAGCATCCCTAATCTGAACTGCTGAACACTGCACAGTCTGAAGCCTTGTCATTGCCAACACAGTGTCTCAAGTAGGGCATCGTGACAGTGTTACACACCCTGTGTCCTGCTGCCTTCAGGCTCTGTACATAAAGCTTAACAAAACCTAAGTGAAGTTCATATTTAGGCTTGGTCCCTTCCCATCCCTGTGGTATCTCATTATGCTTGTGCAACTACTAGAAAATTCAGAAAAACCCAGAAAACAAAATACTTCTGGCCCCAAGTGTTTCAAATAAGAGATACACAACCTATACTAAAAATCAGAACTTGCTACTACTAATATGAAAAGAGCTAATGTTAATAAAAAATAAGAAAGTATTATATAAAAAAAAAGATTTATTTTATTATTTGAAAGGCAGAGTGACAGAGAGGAGGGGCAAGACCGAGACTCTTCCATTCACTGGTTCACTCTCCAAATGGCCACAATGGCTGGGGCTGTGACAGGCTGCAGCCAGGAGCCTGGAACTCCATCTGGGTCTCCCATGTGGGTTCAGGGGCCCAAACACTTGAGCCATCCTCTGCTGCCTTCCCAAGTGCATTAGGGAGCTGGACCAGAATTGGAGCGGCTGGGACTTGAACCAGGCACTCCCTATGGGATGTGGCATCCCCTGCGGTGGCTTAACCTGCTGGGCCGCAGTGCTGGCCTGCTACTGTGAGGAAACCACAGGGGCGCTGAACTTTAAACAGAACTGAGGCTTGGTTTTTGGCTCATCATCCTGGAGGTTCTCAGTCTAAGATCAGAGGCCCCATTGGCTGGGCCTCTGGTAGTGGTGGTCTTGCCAGCACAGTCCCGCAGTGGCACTGGGCGTCACATGGCAAGACTGGAGTGCGTGTGTCTGGGTCTCCCGCAGAGCCACCAGGATCCGACGGTGGGGCCCCCCAATGACGTGATGCCAAGTAATCACCCCCAAGGACCCCACCTCTAAGCACCAAAGCTGGATCACGTTCCCACCCCTCAGTACTGAACTCCCAGTGTTCCAGGGAAAAACAGTCAAACCCTGGCGGCTGCACGTGGTCGGCAGATTGCAAACCGGGGTCTGCTTTGTCTCCACAGCGCTGAGGCCTCACGGGCCTGCTCAGCCCAGCCGGGCGCACCGGACTACACCAGCGGCCCAGTGAGCGGAATACCAACCCACATCGCCCATGGAGCTGCAGGCCGCAGAGGCCCCCGCCCGGCCCCACTCGCCAGCCCCGGTGAGGCCAGAGGCCTAGGCCCGGGCCCACGGAGGAGGGTGGGGGCCGCCAGATGCCCCCCAGGCCGGGGCTGGTCCTGAGGGTGCCCAGGGCCAAGGATGCCGGCCAAGGGGCGCTACTTCCTCAACGAGGGCGAGGAGGGCCCGGACCAGGCGGCGCTCTATGAGAAGTACCGGCTCACCAGCCAGCACGGGCCGCTGCTGCTCACCCTGCTGGTGGCCGCCACCGCCGCCTGCTGCGCCCTCATCGCCATCGCCTTCAGCCATGGGGTGAGTCCCTGCGCCACGGGCGCAGCTGTGTACTGGGGAGGCTGGGGCTAGCTGCGGCGTCTCTCCGCACCTGGAGCACTTGTGGGCTGGCCAGAGATGGCAGTTGCCTTTGGATTTTCAATGCTGAAGTCCGGGGGTGGATGTAGATGACTTTGGCCAAAAACTTCTCCTCGCTTTTCTCCACGATGAAACTGAATTTTCCCAAAGACCTGATCAGGGACCCCTGTGTACCCCACTTCCCTTGGGTCCCCTGGCAGGGCAGGCGTCTGTGGGCCTCAGAAGTCTTCTGCATGACAGTTGGAAAATCAGAGAGACAGATCCTGTGTCGACTGGCTCACTCCCCAGATGCTCACCATAACCAGTCCAAAGCCGGGAGCTGGGAGCTCCATGCATATCTCCCACTCGGGTGGCAAAGGCCCAGAAACTCGAGCTGTCATGGCTGGCTCCTGGGGGACTGTGCCGCCAGGAAGCTGGGAGAGGGAGAGGAGCCGAGACTCAAACCCAGGCTCTGCGGTATAGGAAGAGGGCATCCCAAGTGTTGTCATAGCTGCTGTGCGAGACGTCCGCTCCTCAGAATCCTCCTTAACCCAGCCCTGAGCTGATGGCATCGCTGTCCTGGGCGCTTGCCCTGCTGCAGCCGCTGTGTGGGTGCAGCCATCAAACGCTTGCCCTGGGACTAGCACAGCTGCAGGACTGCATGCTTCACTTTCCTTTTGAACTTAGCTCGTTTTTATTTGAAAGGCAGAATGGCAGAGAGAGAGAGAGAGAGAGAGAGAGAGAGAGAGAATTTTCTGTCTGCTGGCCTGTCCCCTAAATGCCTGCAGCAATGGGACTGGGCCAGGTTCCAGCCAGGAGCCTGGAACGTCATCCCGGTCCCCCACGTGGGTGGCGGGGCCCCGAGTACTTGGACCAGCCCCTGCTGCCTCCCAGGGTGTGCTTTAGCAGGGCGCTGGATTGGCGGCAGAGGCAGCACGGTAACCCGGCACTGAGAGGGGAAGCGGGGGCCCCAAGCTGCAGCTTAAGCACTGCACCAATGCCCAGCCTCTCATTTTCTTTCTAATTAATGTCGAGAGTTCTAGAAGAAAACCTCGGAGACCACAGGGTGCTGCTATGTGTAGGGTGGCTGGTTACCCAGTGGGCACTCTGTCAGTGCTGCTTGGATCTGTGTGTGTGTGTGTGTGTGTGTGAACCATGGGACACCGGAGCTGGGGGTGAACAGGGGCACGCAGAGCCTGCTTGGGCCCCGCCAGCCGTGCAGGTCCTGGCTGGTGCCGCCGCTCCCCTCCTGGGCGCACTGCTGTGTCCTCGCTCCAGCTTCCTGCTGGGGGGCGTGGACGCCTTTTCTCCTCAGTGCCCGCCCACACCCAATGGTGTCCTCTGCTGCCGGTGGCCTTCCATGGCTTTGCCTGTGAGGGAGCCGGGCAGCCTGTTCCCAGAGCGTCAGGGGGGCCTGGAGGGGGGCTGGGGCTGGGATGTGGGGATGCTGAGGCCCCTGAGTGGCCCCTCCCTCCCGGAGATGGCGGTGCAGGTGAGGGCCTGGAGGTAAGAGGGAAGCCAGTGTTTGATGTGGGCATTGTCCGTATTGTAGAGGGTGGGCCAATATAGGTGGGTTTTCTGGAGGAGGTGGCGCCCTGCCAGGAACCATGGAGGCATTTCTGCGCCTGTCTATCCCCCCAGGACCCCTCTCAGCACCAGGCTGTGCTGGCCACGGCGTTCCTGGCGCTCGCCGTGTTTGTGGCTGTCTACGTGCTGGTGTACGTCGAGTGCCTTGTTCGGCGCTGGCTCAGGGCGGTGGCGCTGCTCACCTGGGCCTGCCTGCTGACGCTGGGCTATGTGCTGGTGTTCGACTCGCGGACGAAGCAGGCCTGTGCGTGGGAGCAGGTAACAGGGTGGGGGACCCCGCATGCCTGGGGGCTGTGGCCAGCCGCCCCGCCTTGGGCATCAGGTCCCTGTAGCCGGGGCTGTGGCTCTGGGTCCTGGGGTGGGCTCTGTGCTGACAGGGCTGCAGTAGACCTGCTGTCCCCAGGCCACGGGAGCCCATACTGTTCAACCTCCAGGTTCCCCCACCCCAGCAGGGGGGAAGTGGGAGAGAGAGAGAGAGAGAGAGAGAGAGAGAGAGAGAGAGACACAACCCTTTCTGCACAAGCTCATGCCCCAGGCCTGAGTGATGCTGACCTGGCCCACGGTGGTCCCCTCTGAGCCGAGCACCTGGGCCGTGGGACCGCTTCCGTGGCAGGGGTGGGGTGAGGAAGGCTGTGGGTTGGGGGTGGGGCCCTCTCTCAGGAGGGTGGCTGCAGAGCAGGTGGGGCGAGCGGCTAGGAGCTCCAACCGTGGATAGGTGGGCCTCCCCTGCTGCTGACCCTGCCTGGTGCTCTGCTGGTGAACCGCGATCCTGCGGACGGAGCCCCCTCGTTCTGACGCTTGTCTGTTGCTGAACTCAGCGCAGCACGCGTGGGAGGTGTGGGGGCCACGGAGAGGACCGAGGTCCCGCCCCTCCGTCAGCTCAGGCTCCTGGGCCCTGCCCCCAGGTGCCCTTCTTCTTGTTCATCATCTTCGTGGTGTACACGCTGCTGCCCTTCAGCACGCAGGGAGCTGTGGCCGTGGGGGTCGTCTCCACCGCCTCCCACCTGTTGGTGATCGGCGCTGTGATGGGGGTCTTCACCACGCCCAGCGCCCAGGTGGGGCTACAGGTGAGGGGCGGTTCTTGGGTGCTGGGGTGGGACCAGGCTGAGGCCTGCTCTCTGGGGAGGGGCTTGTGTTTGGGCTGAGCGGCCTGTCAGTGAGCTCGGAGCTGCTGGCTCGCACAGGGCCCCAAGGCCAGGCTTTCTCTGCTGCTTGGATGTTGCCCCCCCCACCCCTCCCAGACAGATGGGGCCCTGTCCTGCCCATCTTGCCTTTGCTGGCCTCCGGTCCCCCTGCAGGCACAGCCCTTCCCTCCCAGGCCAGTGCCCAGTGTCGGGGGACAACCTGGCCCGAGGTCCCGCTTTCTCCCTGGGAGCCCCATCTGGACAGGGCAGGGCCGTATTCCGGGCCCCCTGTCTGTGTTGAGTGGGCACTCAGAGGTGTGTGTTCCTCCTCCAGGCCCAAGGGTCCCTTCCAGGGCAGGGCTACACTTCCAGGCAAGCCGGGCGGTGGCAGTGCATTCTGGGACTGCCCTGTGCGCACCCCTCAGGCCCTGGGCTGTGTGAAGGGCCGCCTCGCTCCCCTGCTCACTGGCGGCCCAGCCTTCTGGCCGGCACAGGTGCCCAGCAGGTGCAGCAAGGGCCGGCAGAGGCTCCTGAGGAGAAGACTGGCCCCTGGCTGGGCCTCGGTTTCCAGGCCTGAGCGGGTTGGGGTAGGGGATGATGGGTGGGGAGCGTCACCAGTCCCCACCACAGGAATGCTGAGCCCCCACCCTGGCACCCACAGCTGCTGGCCAATGCTGTCATCTTCCTGTGCGGCAACTTCACGGGTGCCTTCCACAAGCACCAGCTGCAGGATGCCTCCCGCGACCTCTTCACCTACACGGTCAAGTGCATCCAGATCCGCCGGAAGCTGCGCATTGAGAAGCGTCAGCAGGTGAGGACCTGGCCCCGCCCAGCCCCCCACCCCAGACACCTGCCAAGCAGGGTGCATGTGTGTGTGTGTGCGCGCGCACGCGTGTGGGAGCGTGCATGTCTCTTGCACACACAGGGCCAGACCCTGGGCTGCTGGGGCCGTGGGAGGCTGTGTGGCCAGGGAGATGGGGGCGTGGCGGGCAGAGCAGGAAGCGCGCTGAGCCCGCCGCTCCGCTGCCCGCGCCAGGAGAACCTGCTGCTGTCTGTGCTGCCGGCGCACATCTCCATGGGCATGAAGCTGGCCATCATCGAGCGGCTCAAGGAGCACGGGGACCGCCGCTACCTGCCCGACAACAACTTCCACAGCCTCTACGTCAAGCGGCACCGGAACGTCAGGTGGGTGCCCGCCGCGCGCCCCTCTCCGGGCCTCAGTGTCCCCAGGGCTCGTAGGGTCAGATCAGGGTTAAGTGAGGATGCAACTGGGCGTAGCTCTGTTGAGGGAAGCAGCCTTGCAGATGGCCTTCAAGGGGCACGGGCCCCCCGAAAGGAGGTAGAGCCCCCAGGCCTGACAGCTGTCCTTGGGCTGCCGGCTCTCCCCGGAACCCTCCAGCCCGAGTTCAGTGTCTGTGTGGGCGCTGCCTGCTCCCGGGGCCTCCTGGCTGGCTGGGCTGTGGACCAGTCCAGGGGCTCGCGGACTCGGGATCTGCTTCGAACCACAGCTCTTGGCTTCCCAGCCCATCTTGGCCTCCAGACGGGGACCGGGTGCGAGGGTTGAGCAGGTCCCCGAGCCTTGCGCTGAAGAGGGGATCCAGGTACCGGAGAGGAGGCAGCAGCTCTGAGCTGCCCGTGGGAGCCCTGGCATGGTCCACAGTGATGGGGCGCGGGCGGGGAGAGTGGTCTTGGGGCCCCCAAAGGGCGTGGGAGTTTTGCTCCATTTTGCTTTATTGTGGCGTCTCTGGAGCTTTAATTTGCCATCAAGGCTGGGAGCATCTGTGCCGGCCCAGACTGGGGCCCTGGTGCTCCTGCTGCTGGGCCTTCCTGGTCCTGGCTCTGACGGCCCCTCCCCCGGCCCCGCCCCCAGCATCCTCTACGCGGACATCGTGGGCTTCACGCGCCTGGCCAGCGACTGCTCCCCCAAGGAGCTGGTGGTGGTGCTCAACGAGCTTTTCGGCAAGTTTGACCAGATCGCCAAGGTGAGCCCTGCCCGACTGCGCCCCCGGGGGGCGCTGGGGCCCAGGGCTGGACGGCCGTGTCCCAGCAGCGGGTGGCAGCCACGATCCTGTCTCCGCAGAGTGAGACCCGGCCTCGTCCACAGGGTGCTTTGCACGGGCTCCCAGGGGCCTCGTGTGCACATTAACATTTGGAAAACCTAAACAGGAGACCTGAGCAGGAAAGGGACAGGCATTCGGGGCTGGGGGGGGGGGGGGGGGGGCGGGGCAGCACGCACGGAACGGCAGCTCCGCGTGTGCATGGAACTGAGTTTGAGGGGCCTGTGCCCAAGGTTGGATGTGCAAGGACGGGGGTGCCGAGGGGCACAGCGGGCCTTGTCCCCAGGGCGCTGAAGAGCGTGGCAGGTCCCAGGCAGGGAGGGGCGTCTGGCAGGGTGGTTACTTTACCGATGGTCCCTGCTGAGGGCAGATCCCTTGAGTTCATGTAGGGCCTCCGGCTCACCCTCAAGTTGCTCACTTGAGGTGCTGGGTGCTAGGGAGCACCTAGGCCAGCCTCGGGTGGCCAGGGCAGGCTTCCTGGGGGTGGTGGCTGCTAAGCAGAGGCCCAAGTGTAAGTGTGAAGGCAGCGGCTTTCCTGGCTGCACAGCACATTTGAGCCACGTGAAAAGCTGCCCGGTGCCCGCATCCCGTGAGCGTGTGTAGCCTTTCACCCAGGTGCAGAGGATCAGAGGCCCAGGGCTCCCGGGGAGGCGAGTCTGGCCCCACGCCGGGAGGTCTTCATGATCAGAGCCGCTCGGCCCTGGGGTGGACTCCCCATTACAGGGGATGAGCTCCCCACTGCAGGAGGCAACCAAATTGCTGTAGGACAATGCTGGCCAGGGACGCTCTGGAGAGCCGCCCCATCTTGGACGTTGGGGACCAAGCGACCCAGAGGGCTTGTCTAGCCTGGAGCCTTCTTCCAGGAGCTGTGTGACTTAGCCCCAGAGACTGGGCTGTAGGAGGCGGGGGTCTGGGGCCACAGCTGGCCTCCCCCTGCTGTGAAGCCTGAGGACCTGCCCTTGCCCTCGTGGTCACAGCCTTCTCTACCGGCAGGCCCAGGAGGCTTGGCCCCATTGCACAGGTGGGAAAAGAGAGGCTGTTGTAGGTGCCAGCTTCCCAGATCTGGGCAGAGACAGGTGGGGCTGGTCCCTCCTCCTCACGGTCAGGGCCTCCCCTCTCAAAGGTGTCCCTGTAGCACAGAGACCTGTCATTTTGGGGGAGCAGCTGCCTGGGGGGTGTGGCTGGGGCTGGGGGCAGCACCGTGGCTGTGCTGGTGTCCAGGCTGCCCCCGGGGCCCCTGTCTGCAGGGAGCTCCCAGGGCGGGGCTTAGTGCCGGCCAGCAGGTGCGGGGCGACCTCCGGGCAGGGCTGCTGCTGGGTCCAGGGAAGTGATGCCGGACGTGACCCCCAGCCAGGCCCCACAGGCTCCGGGGGAGGGAGCTGCAGACAGAGGCTGTTCCTGAGCGCTGGGCCCAGGGGGGCGGCCTACCTCAATCCCCACCCCCACCCCCAGAAGTCAGTGGCATCCATCCTTTGAGGGGGGTCTGCCGGCCGTCAGCTGAGCGGGGCGGGAGCAGAGGGCAGAGGCCGATGTCTGGCAGGTGGCTCCTTGCCGTCCCCCAACACCTCCCCTGCAGGCCCTGGTGGATGTGGCTGCCCTTGCTGGAACCTCAGACAGCCCTCTGGGGCCCCGTTCCTCTGTGGGAGTTTTCCCAAGACCCCTGCCTCTGCCCCCTCGGACTCCTCCCCTCTGCTCTCCCAGCCCTGGCAGTGTAGCCGTCTCTTGGGTAACCTCGAAACCCGCTGCCTCTGTCCTTGTCTCCCCGAGCTCGGGCTGCTGGGCTCTGTGTCCCAAGCACCTTTCCTGCCTCAGGACCTTTGCATGTGCTGGCAGTGCTGTTTCTGCACATACTGGAAAGGCTCTAGGTTCCCGTGGGTCTCTGGCCACACAGGCCACTCCTGTGCCTTGTTTTCCTGCCTCGCCCTGCTGCCATTGTGCAGCCTGTAGACTTTATCATCTAGCTTAGGGTCCCGCCCTCCCATCAGCCTGTGTGTGCCATGGTTGCGTGGAGTTTTGTTTGCCTGTCTGTCCTAATGCCTGGTCCAGGGCCAGGTACTCGAAGACGCTCAAACACAAATTACAAGAAGGTCTCCGTCCCCAGAGGTCCCAGGGACCCTCGCTTTCAGCCCTGTCGCGTGGCTCCCAGGTCCCCGTCCTCTCACCGGGCATCGCAGCAGACAGCCCTGAGCAGCCAAGAGCCCGGCTCACCTGAGTGTGTGGGGGGGAGTTGGCTGTGGGTGTGAGTGACCCCAGCCCTGCACTGACCCCGCTGGCCTCCCCCCACCCCCGCCCCCCGGCAGGCCAACGAGTGCATGCGGATCAAGATCCTGGGTGACTGCTACTACTGCGTGTCGGGCTTGCCCGTGTCCCTGCCTACCCACGCCCGGAACTGTGTGAAGATGGGGCTGGACATGTGCGAGGCCATTAAGTAGGTGCAAGACAGGCCTGGCTCTGGGTCCTGCTTCCCAGGGCGTGGCGGGTGGGGAATGCTCTGCTCCCATCCTGTGGATGAGAACACTGAGGCTGGGGTGCGGGAGTGGCTTGCCCGGGCACTCAGCCTGCTGGAGGAGTCCTCTCTGGTCTGCCTGTGACTCCAAGCCCCAGCCGCGTGCCGGGTGGCGTGGGGACGGGCTGCGGGCTCTGTTCCTTCTGAGGACTGAAGGTTTCGGGGCAGACAGCAGGAGGACCTGCAGACTGGGGTCCTGTCTGAGCCTGTGAGGACGCTGGAGTCAGGACTGACCCCAGGTGCAGGGAGATGCCAGCCGGGCTCCTTCCATGGAGGAGGAACTCGCGTGGGTGTGTTCCGAAGCGGGAAAGCAGTGGCTACACTGACCAGTGTCTGGGGCGGAATAGGGCGCAGCCACTATGCCTGAAGCTTGCCCCTCCCGGGGTAAATCCGAGCCCCACACCTCCCCAAGGTGACAGAGGCCAGGGGACCAGGTCCTCTCTTGCCTCTGCCCTGCCTGGGTGGCCTCGGGCAGCTCCGTGCCTGATGGCACAAGGACATGCTGCAGGTTCCCTCTGGCCTCCCTGGCGTTGGCCCCGGCTGGCTTGCCCTGCCAGTAGACACACGGGGCCGACCACTTCCCTGTCTCTTGCCCACTTGTTCGAGGGACTCAGAGGCCCTGCCTCTGTTTGGGGGAGCCTGCACTCTAGGAGGCTCTAACTTGGGGTTCCTGTTTCCTAGGGTTGCCCCCATGTTCCTCGTGTGTGTGGGACTTTGGGGGTTGCCTGGGCCCGGTGACCCCAGCAGCTGGGCTGCCAGGCAGGGACCCCCGGAGATGGAGTTAAACAGTGGGGATCGTCTCCCCTCCTCCCTGCCCTGCCTGAGCGCTCTGGGCTGGCCGCATCTGCGTGTACACCCCCGGGGGAGCGGGGTACTCAGCCCCTTCCGAGGTTGGGCAGCCTGCTCCCCGGCTGGCTGGGGTGACCGGGCTGCTGTGCCCCAGGCAGGTGCGGGAGGCCACGGGCGTGGACATCAGCATGCGTGTGGGCATACACTCGGGGAACGTGCTGTGTGGCGTCATCGGGCTGCGCAAGTGGCAGTACGACGTGTGGTCCCACGACGTGTCGCTGGCCAACAGGATGGAGGCGGCTGGAGTCCCCGGGTGAGCCCTCAGCTGGCCACAGGGGAGATCAGGGGCCCATCGGGGGGCTCAGGGGAACTGGGCCAGTCACTGAGCCTGGCCCTGCTTGGCACCCCTGGGTGGGCACTGGCCCTCTTGGGAGCCGCCCTCCCCGCCCCCCTCCAGCCTTCCTGACTCAGGTCTCCCGCAGCCGGGTGCACATCACAGAGGCGACGCTGAGCCACCTGGACAAGGCGTACGAGGTGGAGGACGGGCACGGGCAGCAGCGTGACCCCTACCTGAAGGAGATGAACATCCGCACCTACCTGGTCATTGACCCCCGGGTACGCGGGCTCAGGTGCAGCGCCCTGGGGGGCCCACCCCACCGCCCTGGAATAGGGCCCCTGTGGAAGGCTGGTGGTTTCCCCTTCCAGGCAGGTGGGAGGTGGGGAAGGGGTGAGCTCATGAGCATCCTTGCACCTGTCCCAGGCACCAGGTAGCCTGCACTACGCAGTGTGGGTGACAGATGGAGCGTCCCGACCTGGGGGCTTGTTCCCCCCAGGCTCACTCATCACCCCACTCCTCTTGGCCTCTGATAGAAAGGAGACCCCCTGGGGCCCGGGCCGCTCTGCCTTGGTCAAGCCCCGGGGCTGGGAGGCTGTTCTGGGCTCCAGGGCCAGGTGGGGGTCTGCCGGGTGGGGGCGGGGTGGGCGGCGCACGCTGGCCCGACTGCTGCCTGCCCTGCGCCTGTACAGACTGCAGACGGCCGGCGGGTGAATCAGCCTTGGGGGCTGGCCCAAGAATGTCGGCCTCGGCAGCCCTGGCCAGCTCTCCCAGCCTGACCGCCAGGCTTCTTGAGCGCCAGGGTAGGGGGCAGCCCCGAGCCACTGCAGCGTCTGCTTTCCTCCCACGGCCCCCTGCAGACCCTGCCCCCGCTCCCAGGGCCCGTCCCGCCTCCCTGCCGACTGCACCATCCACGCCGAGCTGGCATCTGGGAAAACCCGCCTGGGTTCCCCGCTGTGCTAGAATAAGATGCACCCCTCCTCCTACACCCCTCCTCTGGGCCCTGCCTGCCCCTCCAGCCACTGTCCCACTCCCCTGTCCCACCCCTGCCCCTGCCCTTCCAGACTCTGCCACTGGGGACCCTGTTTCTGTACTCCCTTTGGAGTTCCCTGTACTCTGGAACCCCGGTGCCTCGCGCACTCCTGTTTATCACCCCTGTCCCCTGGTCACTGCCCCCTCTCCTGCCTGGCCTGGAGCCCGTGCCCAGGTGGCTTTCGAATAAACGAAGCAGAGTCCCTAAGCTAAACGGCCGCCGCGCAGCAGCCACAGCTGCGAAACCACCCCCGCACGGCTGCTGAGGCTCAAGGCCAGCTCCAGGATGCCCGGCAGACTGGAATTTCAGCTCAGCACTGAGGAATGCGTTAGCCTGAGCGAGCGAGCCTCCGGCGGCATTTAATTGGGCAGCCTGCGTTGTCTCCTGCAGCCCTGCCTTCCTCGGTTAATTTCATTCATCCCAGTAGTTGCACATTCAAAAGCTGTGCAGGGCCTGTCATACAGGGTTTCTCCTGTGGCCTTGTCCCCCAGCCATCACAGCCCCTGGTGGGGACTAGAGGGGTGACAGCCTTGTATTCCTGCCATGGAGCTTTGTGAGTGCGCGCCCGTGTGTGTGTGTGTGTGTGTGTGTGTGTGTGTTAAAGATTTATTTGACAGTGAGAGAGAGAGAAATTTTCCATCTGTTAGCTTACTCCCCAAATGGTCACAGCAGCCAGGGCTGAGCCAGGCCAAAGCCAGGAGCCAGGAACTCCATCAGGAGCTCCCACGCAGGTGGCAGGGGCCCAAGTATCTGGGCCGTCTTCCATTGGATCGGAAGTGGAGCAGCCGGGACGTGAACTGGCGCTCTGCTGCGGAATGCCGTTCTTACAGCCGGCAGCCTAACCCGCTGCGCCACAGCGCCCGCCCCTGCCATGGAGATTTCGTGCAATCTGTGGATGGGCTTGCAAGAAGCCGGCCCGCCCTCCTCGCCCAGGCATTGACACCCAGGGGTGGTGGGGCCGCTCGTCTTACGTTCGCACTGTTCTCCCGGGGACGCAGCTGCCGCCTGCACACACGGGGCGTTTCCAGCTTTGGCTTCTGCACGCCCCGCCTTCATTCATTCATTCATTCATTCACATTATTCTCTGTGTGTGTGTGTGTGTGTGTATGGCGGCTGGTAGCTGTCGGCTGCTTGGAGGTGCAGGTGTCCCGAGTGGGCGTGTCTTCAGCGTACGTTGCCTTTGACTTTTGGGGAGCAGGGGATATCTTGCTTCCCGTGCTGTGTAAGGCATGGTTGCCGACAGGGTGGGGGCGAGACAGGGATGTAGCCCAGCCCGCAGCCCCCAGCCCTGACACGGGGCCCCAGGACGCTCACCGAGGCTGAACCCCACGTGGTCCCCTTGGGCCAGGCAGGCAGCTGAGGCTAAGGTCTAAAGGGAGGTGGGAGTTTCCAGGAAGGCTGTCCTTGGTGGTGCTGGTGTCTGCAGGGGCGGGGGCAGGGAGGCCAGGCTTGGGGGGACGGGGAGTAGGGGAACGTGTGCAATGTTGGGGGTGGGTAGGGGGAGTTAGCTGACCGGAGACAGCTTGTTTGTCTCTGCTGGCCTCGGAGGTCTTTCTCTCCCCTGTTTTTCACTCCTGTCCAGCTTGGCCATGCTGATGGCACGCTCTGTGACACTAGTAGGGAGGCAGGGCCTGATTTGAGGCCTGGCTGAGCCCCTGGCATGGAGCTGGGCTGCGGTGGGCAAGGGGCAGGTGACGAGCCTGTGCCAAGGTTTGAGGGCCATGTGAGTGGAACTCCCTGGTACACAGCTCCTCTGCTGAGAGATCCCCCTGGGGTTAGGCTCCTGCCTCCCGGCCACTCCCACAGCCAGGAAGGGGCATGTGGCTGCCACATGGGGGTGGGTGGGGCTGGATGCCTGTGGCTTCCCAGGGCGCCTCCAGGCAGCCTGGAAGGTCCAGAGGCGCCCTAGGCTGGGGACCACAGCCACTGCTTTCCTGCGAGGTGCAGCAGGCCTGGGGCCTGGGTGCAGGGCTGTGGCCGCCAGCCTCTCTCTGGCCTGTGGGAGGGGACAGGCCACCACACTGGGCTCCACCAGTTGGCCCCAAGGGCACTGCACTCCAGGGGGACGCCGGGCCCAGAAGGGTTTCTGCACGCTTTGCCCCCATCAGGCCAGGCGCTCGGGCAGTGGACGGGGTTGAGCGGGCAGTGGCACAGGCCTGTGTCTGTTCTGCCCACAGAGCCAGCAGCCGCCCCCACCCAGCCAACAGCTGCCCAGGCCCCGGGGGGATGCGGCCCTGAAGATGCGGGCGTCCGTGCGCATGACCCGCTACTTGGAGTCCTGGGGGGCGGCGCGGCCCTTCGCACACCTCAACCACCGCGAGAGCGTGAGCAGCGGCGAGACCCCCGTCCCCAGTGGCCGGAGGCCCAAGGTAGCTGGGGCCCTCCCTCCGAGCTGCACTCTGCCCGGCTGTAAAATGGCTACAGTTGGCCAGCAGAGGCGCGTGGACAGCGCTCCGGCGGGGGTGGGCCTACCCCTGTCCCCTGCCTTCCCCAGGCCGAGGTCAGCTTCAGTGTAGGCTGCCTGAGGCCTGGACAGTCCCTGACACCTTGCCCCGGGAGTCCAGCACATGACAAGCCCTGGGCAGTGATGGATGTCGGGGCCCAGCGTGCAGGGGGGTGACTCCCCTCTCTTCTCCCTTCCCAGGCCATTCCCCTACGGCGCCACCGGACCCCTGACAGGTACGTGTGCTGCCCCCTCCTGGCCCAACCCATGACTGGCCGCTCCTCGAGGCCCAGCCCAGTGGACCCTGCGGGTCTCTTGGTCCTGGCTCTTCTGGGATGGCCCTGATGGAGCACCTGTAGGGTCCCCACCCTGTGGTGTGCTCGCCATAGCAACCCAGTGGGCGTAGCCAGGAACTGGGGCCTCGGCTTCTTGCTGGGCAACGCTGGGCCTCAGGAGGCTCCGCCTGCCCCTTCATCCTCCTCTCTGGGAGATGGGACGTGGGGACCCGGGGTGACGCAGGCAGGGCTCTGATTCCAGGAGCGCATCCCCCAGGGGGCGGGCGGAGGACGACTCCTATGATGACGAGATGCTGTCAGCCATCGAGGGGCTCAGCTCCACCAGGTGAGGCCCCCTGTACCTCTGCCTGCTCCCACCCCCTCTGTAGTGGGGCCCTCTCAGCAGCAGGCCTGCCCCGCCCCCTCTGCCGCCCAGCCCTTCCCCCAGACAGCCTCCCAGGGGGCGGCAGCCCCTCCCCCCGCCCCCCTCTTACCCTGCCTGCCCCCTCCCTGTCTCCCCCCACCCCAGGCCCTGCTGCTCCAAGTCTGACGACTTCTACACCTTTGGGTCCATCTTCCTGGAGAAGGACTTTGAACGAGAGGTGAGGGCCCCTGGGCTGGGGCCGGGGCTGGGGTCCAGGGAGTGTGTGCTGCCAGGGCTGGGCCGGGGCTGACGGCACTGGCCTGGAGGAGCACCCAGCCCCTGCCTCCGCCTCTGTCCTCGGAGGGCCCCGCCAGGGTGGCTGCAGCCACGGCACACTCTTTGTGCCAGGACCGAACAGAGCGCCCCCTGGGCCCGGCAGCGAGCATAGTTCTAGAACCTCGCTGTCGCTGTCGGCCAAGGGGGCTGCTGCTGCCCACTTTACAGCCAGAACCTGTGGGGTCCTGGCCCTCTGTGCTCGTGTTCTGGGATGGAGAGGAGGAGCCCTCCCCTTCAAGGGGCTCCTGGGCTCTCACCTCCAAGAGGGCCCTTGTGGCTGTGATCATCAGGGGGCCCCCTGCTGGCCCAGGCCCAGCCTCACTCATGGTTTGGGGTGAGGCCAGCCCCCCTCCCTGGCAGCAGCGCTGGGAGCCCAGATGTGGCTATCGCTCGTGACCCAGGGCAGTGCGTGTTTCAGGGACCTTGGAAGGAAGTGACAAGTGGGTGGGGCCTCCGACAGGAAGTGCCCAGTGGGAAGGACTAAAGTTGGTCCACGTGGCATTCCCAGGGGGGCTTGAGTTGGGGCAGGGCCTGCAGGGGCCGCCCCTCACTGTTGCTCTTGCCCGCAGTACCGCCTGGCGCCTGTGCCCCGTGCCCGCTACGACTTTGCCTGCGCTGGCCTCATCTTTGTCTGCATCCTGCTAGTCCACCTCCTGGTGATGCCCAGGTCGGTGGTGTGGGGAGGGTGGTCCAGCCCTCTGGGGCCTGGGATGCGTGATGGGGCTGGGAGGAGTTCAGGATCCGGGGTCTTGGGGGGCCAACGCGCATCTACAGTCGGACGAGCGCCTCGCCACTCCCTCCTGCCTCTCTTGCCTTCTAAGGCCCCTGTTACCCAGTGGCCCCCTGGGCGTTCCAGTTTGCAAACCATAGCCCAGCCCCTGTGCTCCCTCTTCTGCTGCTGAGAACCCCGCCTCTGGCTCTGCCCGCTGTTGGTGGGGCATGGGGGCAGGGGCTGAGGTTGGCCACTTGGAGGTTTCTGGAAGGGCTGGGCCGACACTGTGGTCTTGGATGCTCACCTAAGCTTCGGTCCCACGTGCGAGTCTGGGATGCTGGTGGTGTTGCTCACTTAGTTGCTTGGCCCAAAACGGTGACATGATGTTGACCTTGATCTTGTGTTCTGGGCAGGCCTGGGGGAAAGTGGGCCACAGGTGTGCAGAATAGCAGCGGGGTTGGGAGGGACCATGATGGTACCTGGGCAGTTGGTCCCCCAGAACTTGGGTTTCCCTCCTCTGTAGGACGGTGGCCCTGGGTGTGTCCTTTGGGCTGGTGGCCTGCGTGCTGGCGCTGGTGCTAGGCCTGTGCTTTGCCACAGAGCTCTTGGTGAGTCGGGAGGCTGCTGTCCCCATGGCCCCTGCAGCCCTGGATGGGGACTTGCCCACCGTGGGTGGTAGCAGGTGCTCCGGCGGGGTGCCTGCCCCTCCAGCCTCCATCAGCCTTAGCTGAAAGCTCTGAGGCTTCTCCTGAGGGTCCTGCCCCCCACCCCCAGGCCTGCTGGAGGCACCCCTTCTTGTCCCTCCTGCTGGCTCCAAGTAACTCCACCCATTCCTCCATAGAGGGGCTGCCTGGCCCCCGGGACGCGCCGGGCCATCTCGGAGCGGGTGGAGACGCAGCCCCTGCTGAGGCTGACCCTGGCCGTGCTCACCATCGGCAGCCTGCTCACTGTGGCCGTCATCAACCTGGTGGGTTCTGGCTGGGCAGGGCAGACCGGGCTGGAGCCCTGGCACCTGTCTGGGTGGAGGAGCCCATCCTTGCTCTGGGAGCCTTCTAGAATCTGACAGTGGCAAGCGTCAGCCGTGCCTGGCTTGAAGCTCCATGGGTGGCCCTGGAATCTGGCTGTGGTGGGAAGCCGGGCCTGGCCATGAACCTTCGTGCCTCCCACTGCTCTCAGCCCCTGGGGCAACCTCATGGGGACCTGTCTCTCCTCTGCAGCCCCTGATGCCTCTCCCAGCCTTGGGGCTGCCTGGTGGCAACGAGACGAGCCCAGAGACCTTGAGCGGCAAGGATGCGACCCTGTGTGCGGTCCTCCCGGTGAGTGTGGCCCTGTGGCGGCTGCACCAGTGGGTGTCCCCCGTCACTTCCTCCACGGCAGCGCTTGTCATCATCTCATTGTTGAGGAAGCTTGGCTCCCAGCACGTAACGGATGTGCTGCATGGGTGGTAGAGCCGGGCCACAGGCAGCTGACAGCAGGAACCTCTGTCCACGCCTGGTGTGGTCGTGGGTAGGCAGCCGGGATCTCTGAGCTGGCCTCTGACAGGTGCAAGTTTAGCCGGGGGGGGGGGGTGTATGGCCAAAGGGACAGTGGGAAAACAGGCTGAGGCATGACGGGGCGGGGGAGGGAACCCGGGAGGGAGAACTGGGGCAGCCACAGCACAATCGGGGAGAGGGAGAGGAATGCAGGCAGACCCCCTAGTAGGGGCAGGCTCACAGGACCTGGGGAGTGGCTGTTCCCACATGCACCTCGCCACACACGTGTTTTTATTTGCTGCGTTTCCTTCCCTTTAAATGAACTCACTTGCTGAGATTAGAAATTGCATCGCATCACAGCACAGCACTGGGTGGGAACTTGCACACCCTGAGGCCGCTCTCGGCCAGCTAGGGGCAGCGAGGCGTGTAGAGGCTGCAGCTGGGGGCCGGGAAAGCATGCTGGGATGGTGTCGGCGTGGGGGGTGCAGCTCCCTCCTCAATGCCCTTCCTCCCCCCCAGTATTACACCTGCACTTGCATCCTGGGCTTCGTGGCTTGCTCGGTCTTCCTGCGGATGAGCCTGGAGCTGAAGTTGGTGCTGCTGACAGTGGCCCTGGTGGCCTACCTGCTGCTCTTCAACCTCTCCCCCTGCTGGCAGTGGGACTGCTGCGGCTCGGGCCTGGGCAACCTCACCACGGGCAATGGCACCCTCAGGTAGGCGCCACGCGGCTCTCTGTGCGGCTTCTGCCTGTTTTGGTGCCCATTCCAACTAGGTTGCATTTGCATTCGTGATCCTGTTTGATCCGGACAGCCCAGGCTTCTGGCATCAGGGCCAACGCAGCCGGCTTGTTTTTAGGCTCTGAGAAAGGATGCTGGTTCTGGACCAGGGATGGACAAGGAGGGATGTGGGTTCTAACTCGGTCTGCCTCCCTGAACAGAAAGGGTTGGGGTGTGTGCCGCCAGGACTCTGGACTGAGCAGAGGAGCCTGGCTCCCCTGATGTAAAAGGCTGGGGGCTCGGGGATCCAGGGATCCCTACACCTGCCAAGTCCTATGCCAGTCTCTGAGTGTCTGGCTCACGGCTCGCTCTGCGCTGCCCTCAGACCCTGGTCAGGGTGTGCTCCTGTCACTCAGCGAGGCCTTCCCGCCCACAGCCAGCACATGCGGGTGTGGGGGCTGCGGGTGACTCCTGTCTCCCTACACACCCAGCAGCACCCCCACCTGTTCCTGGAGGGATCTGAATACCATGATCAACTTCTACCTGGTCCTGTTTTACGGCACCCTGGTCATGCTCTCCAGACAGGTACACGCTCGCACCCCGGCTCAGCCCTGCCTGCCTTCTCCTCTTCTACTTCGAGGGAAAACTGGAGCGGGGTGGGGGTAGCTCGGATGCGGACAGCAGAATCCTACAGAGAAAGCTCGGGTCCCTGGGCCGGGGCGCCAGGTCCACAGCCCGGCCTCCCCCAGGACGTGTCTCAGGCTGGCTGGAGATGGGTGCCTCCTGTGGGCACAGCTCCGCCAGGGCTGTGGCCGCGCCATTCCGGCCCTTTGCATGGGCGTGCTGCCCCCTGCAGATCGACTACTACTGCCGCCTGGACTGTCTGTGGAAGAAGAAGTTCAAGAAGGAGCACGAGGAGTTTGAAACCATGGAGAACGTGAACCGCCTGCTCCTGGAGAACGTGCTGCCAGCCCACGTGGCCGCCCACTTCATTGGGGACAAACTCAACGAGGTGTGGCGGGGAGACCGAGGGATGTGTGGGTGTGGGGCTGCCGCATGCTCCGAGTCCTTAGGGCTTGGCCTCACCCGTGTCCAGGAGGCCCCGTGTGGCATCAGCTGCGAGGACACAGGCTTGGATTCAGACCTGGATGTGCAGGCTCAGCCGAGCCCAAGTCCAGCCTGAGCCTAATGACACCCTCCCCTCCCCCAGGCCTGGCCCCAGCACTCCCGAGGGCCAGGTCTTTACACCCTTGCCAATGCCCCGTGTGGCCCTCCCCTCCCCCGAGAGCTGGGCCGCCTGCCTCCCTGGAGCGGCCACAGGACCCCCATGTGCTCCGTGCCCTGTGCAGGACTGGTACCATCAGTCCTACGACTGCGTCTGCGTCATGTTCGCCTCCGTGCCGGACTTCAAGGTGTTCTACACCGAGTGCGACGTCAACAAGGAGGGGCTGGAGTGTCTGCGGCTGCTCAACGAGATCATCGCCGACTTCGATGAGGTGCGGCGGGAGGGCGGGGCGGGGCCAGGCAGCCTGCGTTCTGCCAGTAGAAGGTACAGGTAGCTCCTGGCTGCCCTGTTTGATCCTACCAAACATCACCGCCGTCTCCGTAATGCGCAGCCTGCTGAGTAACTACCTGGTCCGGGTCCGGTGGTTTGAGCTCCAGCTAAGGCCGTGACTCAGCCACTGCGGGGGAATCGTCCGGCCTGTACTCTGCTGGAGACCCGTGTCCTGCCTGCATACCTGCACGGGAAGGACGAGGGAGGCAGCAGTGCCTGGGGGCCCTGTCCTTGGGGTTCTTTTTAAAAATTTTTTAAAAAATATTTATTTGAAAGTCAGTTACACAGAGAGGAGAGGCAGAGAGAGAGAGAGAGAGGTGTCTTCCATCTGATGGTTCACTCCCCAGTTGGCCACAATGGCTGGAGTTGTGCTGATCCGAAGCCAGGAGCTTCTTCCAGGTCTCCCACACGGGTGCAGGGGCCCAAGGACTTGGGCCATCCTCCACTGCTTTCCCAGCCGTAGCAGAGAGCTGGATCTGAAAAGGAGCAGCCGGGACTAGAACCGGCACCCATATGGGATGCTGGCGCTTTAGGCCAGGGCATTAACCTGCTGCGCCACAGCGCCAGCCCTTGGGGGTTCTTAGCTGGAACTGGGGTGGAAAGGGCCGGCAGGAGCCCGATCAGAGAAAGTGGGGAAGCGAGTTTCCTGGCATCTGGGCCGGACCCACCTGGACTGCAGCTGTGGTGGCAGCAGCTCGGCGCTGTGGCCCTGCCTTACTCTGTTGCTCTTTGTCCCCAGCTGCTGCTGAAGCCCAAGTTCAGCGGCGTGGAGAAGATCAAGACTATCGGCAGCACGTACATGGCGGCTGCGGGGCTCAGCGTCACCCCAGGGCACGAGAACCAGGTACGGACCCCTGACTGCTGCCGCGGCCCTAGTGCTGGCCATCTCGGGGTGCCGCGGGGAGCCGAGGCTGACAGCCCGGGGCCGTGTCCCGCAGGACCTGGAGCGGCAGCACACCCACATCGGCGTCATGGTGGAGTTCAGCATGGCCCTGATGAGCAAGCTGGATGGCATCAACCGGCACTCCTTCAACTCCTTCCGCCTGCGAGTCGGTGAGGGCGGCGCAGGCGCACTGCTGTCCGTGGGCAGGCTGGGCTCTGCCAGCCACCGTGCAGCGTCAGGGAACTGCTGTCGGGCCTGGCGGGTCCATCACTCTGAACCTTTCACATCTAAGTAAACACAAGCTTTCCCACAGAACACAGAAACCCCAGGCTGTCAGTGGTAACCTCACAGCCCACTCTGAACAAAGCCCTCTTGTTCAGCCTCACTAGTCACTGCTAGCTGAAAGCCCAAGGCTGTTGAACCTCTGATAAAAAGGGAATTAGCAGATACCACATCTGTCGCTCCCCCTCTTCGTGGAGGAACGACACTAAACCCTGCCTAGGCTTCATATCCGAGTCACGGCACCATTATGTCGCTCCCCCTCTTCATGGAGGAACGACACAGGACCCTGCGCTGTTCTTTCGTCTGCTCGGCCCTCCCCGGGTTTGCTGCTGGTTCTTCCCGGGTTGGCTACTATCCCTTCCACCTCCGTGGAAGGGCAGTTCCCCCTGCCACATTCCCCACTTCCGCAGGGGAGCGGCACACCGCCGGCCGGCTCTCTCGGGGGCTGCACAGGTGTTCCCCTTAGATGTTCCCGGTGCATGCCGTCTCTCTCCTCCTTTATAGTCCTCCTCTGCCAATCCCAACTCGGCTGCCCACATGCCGAGTACGCTGCTCTCCTCCAATCAGGAGCAAGTCCTACAGTTTATTGGTTGAACTGGAGGCAGCTGTGTAGAAGCTGTTTTCTTCTCTCCCAGCGCCATATTGTGGGAGAGCAGGTGCATAGAATAAGTCTTAATTCCAGTAACAGTCTAGTCCGAGCTGCTCCCCACAACACCGGGTCCTGCGAAGTCCGAGAAAGGTCGCCAGGGATGGCCGTCCTGGCTTCCCAAACACCATCCTCCATGGCATGCCGGGAGGCATCTTGGGCGCTTCTTGACTGCCTCCTGTGGCTTTGCCGCTGGGACCGGCCAACTGAACACATTACCTTTTCCAGGCATAAACCACGGGCCGGTGATTGCTGGAGTGATTGGGGCTCGGAAACCTCAGTATGACATCTGGGGAAACACAGTCAATGTTGCCAGCCGAATGGAGAGCACCGGAGAACTCGGCAAAATCCAGGTAAACCCCGGGGAAGCTCGTGCCCGGGGGGTAAGGAGTGGCAGAGGTGAGGGCTCCCCGCCAGCAGCCGTGCGCCCGGCCGCCTCGGCGTCCCTCCACTCCTGAGGACTGCTGGCCTTCCCTTTCAGGTGACAGAAGAGACCTGCACCATCCTCCAGGCACTGGGCTACTCCTGCGAATGCCGGGGACTGATCAACGTCAAAGGCAAAGGCGAACTGAGGACTTACTTTGTCTGTACAGACACTGCCAAGTGTCAAGGGCTGGGGCTCAACTGAGGGCTCTGGTGGGTTCAGAACGTGCTGGGGGCCAGTTTCCTGCCCTCAGCCCCTTGCCAGTCACACAGCATCGCCACCTCTGGCAGACGGCTGTGCGCGGCTTCCTTGGATTTGCACTACAGGATTCCTCAGACCCGGGCACGAGGTGCTGGCTCGAAGCGCCACTGAGCTGGAACACGGCGACAGCCAGGGCCTCAGTGCTGTTGGTCTGCAGTGGTCCCCGGGTCAGCTAGAAAAGGACCACGGGCAGGCCAGCTGCTGTCCTCGTGACTCTGAGAGCCTGTGGGCATGCCCAGGACAGACGGGTGTTTCCCAGGGAGGAGGAGGGCTAAGGCAGGGTGGTCCTTTCCCTAGTGCGACAGCTATGCTGTTCCCTGCCGATCACAAAGGCCTACCGGCAGAGGGCGTTGAGAAAGGGTCTCAAAACCCCCCTGCATCTGACTCTGTGGTCCTTGCTGTCTCTGGCACGTGGCTGTTTGAAAGGGATACATTAACAGGGTTTCTATTCCTTTTCTAAGACTTAGATGCTCAACAAAGCCTCTCGCCTCCAGCCCATCCGTGGTCTTCGCAGGCACTGACACTTGAGGGCTGCTGTCCAGCGGCGGCTTAGAGCTCAGGCCTGTGGTAGGGACGGAGCGCTGAGGAATGTGGCTCACAGCGCGCCAGCAGGCAGGGCAAGACTCCTGGCTCCGACTCGGGCAACTCTGCGGCAGCTGGCGGGGTCGGGAGTCAGGGCCAGAGTCGGTGAGCTGACGGTCTAGAAGGCAAGGTGCAGCCCTTAACCGACCCTGACTGCTCACGTGTTTCTGAGCTCTCCTCAGCAGTCTTCAACTACGTCTTCCTTTTACGGGGAAGGAACGAAGCCTGTACACGCAGAGAACTCGGACTTCCTCCTCCCCTCCCTTGGGCTTCACTGCTCACCCCGAAGAGCTCTGGCACTTGTGGGATCTCCTTAGCATTGACAGGGGGCGGAGCTGCCTACACGCGGGGAGCTAGCCCTCGCACCCTGAAGGAGCGCTCCTGCTAGAACTCAGTCTCACTCCCCAGCAGGGATTCTCAGCCAGAAGTCATCCAGGCGCCGGGCAGCCCAGGGGCAGCTCTCAGAGCTGCATGTAACTGGCACCGGTATGAACACATTCAAAGAGCCTGTTGATAGAGGTGTTTTAGGGCCAAAATGGCAGTAAGAGAAACAACCTTACTTCAGCTGTCTTACGTGTTGACTTTTCACATAAAGGGCTGGTTTTGGGCAAGTCCTGTACTGAAACCTGTTCTTGAAAGTAGCGGGGCCTCCTGGGGTCGGAAGGTCCTGCTGCTGCCGCTGGCAGTGCCGGGCCTCTCTGAGGCTGAGCCTGCACTTCTGCTCCTGCACAGCAATCCCAACTGAGAGTTTGCGATAACCGGCGACCACCCTGGATTTTTCTCTATTTCCAATCAAAGCGTCTGCTCAGACAGGAGGATTTACATGTTTAGGGCACAGGTGCACGCTGTACTTTTTCTAACAGTGACCTCCCTGTGGATCAAGGACTGGCTTCAAATTCCTACTAAGGCAGCCTGACTGCGAACGTAACCGCTGAAGTCTTCTGGTTTACTTGTTAAGCAGATTTCCTAACAGATACTCACCCAGTGTTTACTCAGTGTACATAACGGGGCGATGTACAGAAATATGCTTTGAGAAGGTGCATGCAAATAACTAGGGTTTATCCTGCATTTGGAATATTTATAAATCTAACATTTATTTCAAAATGTTGTTACATTTTTATGAAGCGCCAGTGTTTATAGCTGCCTTTTAAAGATTAAATTAGCAATTTAGAAAACTGTGTCCTAAGGGGTTTTAACATTTGACTACTGATCTTCAGGAACTTAATTTATTTGGGTAGATCTAAAATTGAAAAATCAGTCATGACCCGAACCATATTTTAGAAAGTAAAGTTGCACTCTTAAAATAGACTTGACAAAAACATTTGAACTGGTATTTTGATTCTTTTCATATACTGTTTTAAAAAGATCAGGTCATCTCTAGCTCTGTTGAGAGAATCCAACCTTCCTTCACCCTACTGGTAGCTAAGTATTAACTCTGAAAGTCCAGACGATGACAATTAGCATGCCTCCGGCCTGGTGCTGGCTGAAGTGGCTCAGCCATGTACAGAATGAGGCTCTTCCATTTTGACTTTTGCCTGCTTCAACAGACGCTACACTGAACCGGACATGGCAAAGCCAGCCCTCACTCACCTCAGCCCAGGGACTGCTGACAGGAGGGGATCCCAGCTCGCGGTCTCCCCTTCAATCCCTTTAGGGATTAAAGCGCTCAGGTACTGGCCTTTGCTTTTCAGGTCAAAAGAACAGATGGCTGAGGGTCACTGATCTGTCAAACTTTCCTTTAAGGTCAATAATTCCCTGATGTATTCAAAGATGATTTAATTTATCTTACTTGGCTTCCCTGTGCTATAGTTCCAAATAACACTCTGAAACATAGAAAACAAAAAACAAAAAGAATCCCAGATGTGTTACAGTGCTGTGAAACTCCAACTATGTTTTTTTGTTTGTTTGTTTTGTTTTGGGGGGGAGGAAGGACGGGGGAGGGCCCTAGCTTCCCTACATAAGGATACCATTCTCATCAGGTGCCTAGGGGTCAAGACTACTACTAAATTCTAAAATGATCTGAGGGGCCAGAGGTGTGCAGTCTATTAAGCTGATGCCTATAATGTCAGCATCCCCTATCAGAGTGTTGGTTTGACTCACATCTGCTCTGCTTCCAATCAAGCTCCCTGTTAATGCACATAGGAGGGCAGTGGAGCATGGTCCAAACACTTGTGCCATTGCCATTCATGGCTGAGACCTGGATAAAGTTCCAGACTCCTGGCTTCACCCTGGCCCAGCCTTGGCCGTTGTGGCCATTTGGGGAATGAATCAGCAGATGGAAGACCGTCCCCTCTTCCCTAATCCTGTCGCTCTGCCTTTCAAATAAATAAATTTACAAGTAAAATGACCTGGATTCTGTTTTCATGGTGTAACCACAGGAAGTTCTCCTGGGAAGGGGCTATTTGTAAAAGGCTTCTCAGTTAGGGTTCTGTCTGGGACACAGGAGGAAGACGCATTAGCACAATGCTCCAGGTACGGCAGCAGCCACGTTCCTTCCTCTAAGGACAAGCCAAGTTCAAAGTCATCCAGATGAGAGCTGACAAGCTCGGCACTATTCAGTTACAATTTCTCTAAAGGGGAGTAGGGCAAATACACGAACAAGGATTTTAATTATTTTGGAGACTTGATTCTTGCTGTTTGTTTCCTGAGCTGCTCATTTCACCAGCGGGGGAGGTCAAGGTGTAACTTAGCTGACAGCACGGCACTGCTCCGAGTCCCAGGTTTAACTTTATTACCTAACAGAAGTCCAACCTCTGGAACACTAAAGTTAACTGTTCCAAAGTTTAATTAAAAACACAATTTACAAATATTTAATATCTTCTGAAAAGCATTTCCAAGTTCAGAATGGAAAAAATATGTACATAATATATAATCAAATACCAGTTAGCTTCAAATCCCATCAGGCCCACACTCGGCAACATCAGCCTTTGGAGGTTCTTCCAAATCTGAAAGGAAAAGGCACCGTTTCATTCAGCATTCCCTCCCCCTGAACTGAAAAAGGGCAGCGACAATAAAGCTAGCAAACAGCTGGCACAGCCCTGCTTTGCTACATTCAATGTAAGAGCAGGTGCATCATCTGGTTGTTATTATTACTACAGCTTTTTCAGCAAATGTGTAAAGTCTTTAGACAAGATGGAAAGAAAATTGAAGGCCGCTTTACATCTTACGGACACAGAGGGCAGCTGTGTGGCACAGCAGTGAAGCCCCTGCTTCCCGTGGAGAGAGCCGAGGCTAAGTCCTGGCTCCACTCCTGACCCAGCTTCCTGCTAATGCACACCAGGAGAGGCAGCAGGTGATGCCCAAGCCCCTGGGTCCTTGCCACCTGTGTGGGAAACCGGCTCCAGCCTGCTCCAGCCTGGGCTGTGCTGAGTATGTAGGGAGTATGTCTGAATGAGAGCTCCAATTGGAAAAAAAAAAAAAAAAAAAAATCAAAGTCCCCAAAGACCAAGCCTTTTAAATGTTATCTGAGGGCAGGGGACATCTATTCACGACAGCCTCCCGCCCTCCCCGGGAAACAGGCTGTGTACCTTCTGTTAAATCCACAAGGCCGTCCTCGACGACGGGGGCAGGAATGGAAATCCCCATTGCTTTTCGAACTCCGTATGTGCTTACAATATCACCTGGAGTTACCTGTTGTGCAAGTTCTTTAAGATTATTGGTCACCTGTTCAGCTACAAAGAAAAAAATAAAAATGGTCTGAGGTATTAACAGAAAATGGCTCCAACTCTAGGAAAATTTTTAAAAACACAAAGTAGAGTGAATTGATAAATGCAAACAAGAAACTCACTACAGATTTTCCCTTATGCTCCCACTCCTGCGCTCCCTCAGGTGGGGGTGGGGCAACATACCGAGATGCATCTCCCTATACGAGGGACCCAGAAGACAGATCATGTTGGGAGGGGGTCTGGTGCTGAGGCGCTCATTCTGGGCTTCCTGCAGCTCCCTGAGCAATTTGGTAGTCTCATCAAGTTTCCTCTGGAACACTTCAGCTTCTAGGTGGAAGAAAGAGAACACGCTCAAGAAGCCGTGGACACAACTTCTGTTGACCTCGTGTGGTAGAGCGAGTCCTACTCTCAAAGGAGTTGCTACTTCCTGTTAGAATCCGCTTTCTGTTCATTTCAGTCAGTCAGCCAAGATGTTCCTGTGGTGCGTGGCTACGTTAGTCTGTGCTGCTGTGACAATAAGTCCGACGCCTGTGTTAGAGCTTCCACCAACACCGTGGAGGCACTCACCTTCCGAGTCAAAGACTTCAACTGGAGCGCCAAAGCTCGTGACGGCTTTCAGTGCTGTGAGCCTGTCCTGAGAGCTGGGGTCCAAACGCCCTGCTGGTTCTATCTCTGTAATCTGTTTCAGAAGAAAAAGAGGATTTGGCTTGCTCACTGACATCAGCAAGATGGGTGTGTGTACAGGCCACCTTATTCTACCTGAGTACTAAGGAGGCATAATTCTGAGACCTACAAATACTGTCTTCCCAGAACACTTCTAAGAGGCTACTATTTCTGGGGCCAGCATTGTAGCGTAGCGGGTAGAGCTGCTGCCTGCGACACCAGAATCCTGTATGCGTGCTGGTTTATGTCCTGGCTGCTCCACTTCCAATCCAGCTCCCTGCTAATGGCTTGGGAAAAGCAGTGGAAGATGGCCCAAGTACTGACCCTGCCACCTACACAGGAAACCCGGAAGAAGCTCCTGGCTTTGGCTTGGCCCAGTCCTGGCCATTATGGCCATCTGGGAAGTGAACCAGCAGATCAAAGATCTCTGTCTCTCTTTGTAGCTCTTTCAAATAATAAAAAGGGCTAATTCCGTAGTTTGGAAAAAAAATGTATACATAAACCCATACTCTCTGAACTATAATGTATTTTAGACAATTTCCATCGTTTGTTTCACACCGCAACCATTCTGAAGTAACCAACAGCCTTCTTACTGCCTGAACAGTGAGGCGGTTTTGGCAATTACAACGCAGGCGTGTACGAGACTGGAAGGCCCGCAGGTCAGCATACCCGGTCACACAGGCCTGTAACACAGCACCACGCTGCCAAGTCTCCTTCAGGTCCCCAACCAGGCTGGCAGCACCGCAGGGAAGCAACAAGCCTGGAGAGGGCAGAGTTCTGTATCTGGAACTGTAAGCCTCCCAAGTCCCCTCAGCCTCAGCGATGCTTTTGAGGAACGGTGAACCAGATACTGAAGTAACCCGAGTAAACGGTTCCATTTATACTATGGTCTTGCACTGCCAGCCCAATCCGAACACCTGGTTTCTCCACTTCCACCCATGTACAGGCTACAAGTATACGGTAGAGGAAAACTGACGAACTGTGCAACTTGGTGCCAGCACGTATTTATGCTGTGCCACATCAGTGGGCGCCTCACAAGCCCCCATTTATTTGAAAGAGTCCCAGAAAGAGAGAGAGAGATCTTCCATTTGCTAGTTCATTCCCCCAGATGGCTGCAGGGTTAGGGCTGGGCCAGACAGAAGCCAGGAGGCAGGCGCTTCCTCCGGCTCCCATGTGGGTGGCCCCAGACATCACCAAGGAGCTGGATTGCAAGGAGAGCAGCCAGGACACAAACTGGTGCCCACATGGGGTGCTGGCGTTGGTGTCGCAGGCAGCTTTCCTTGCTGCGCTGCAATGCTGGCCCGCCTTTCATTTTTCCCCAACTTCTTGTCCTTTCTCCAATGTCTTTCCCTCTTGCCCCCACTATGATCACAAACTTGCCTGGCTCCTCCTCCTCTGGTGTAAATCCCACTGATAAACTGCAAAATGAGGTCGGGTGGGATTTTTCTCCCCCTCAGTTACAGGGCTGAAGTCTCCCCCTCCTGTCCGTCCTCACCAGCCAGTTTCTCCCGCTCCTGTATGTGATTCTCTGAAGCCTCTCTTTTGTACCACCACGTTATGGGACCTGTTCCTCTTGCTTCCAACAGCTACTGCCCTCTGACCTACTGGGTCTTGCCCAGGCTAATGACCGAAATGAAATTCTCCCTGCACACCAGGAATTGTCAGATGCCCACTGCGGGCTGCAGGCCTGTACCTCCACTGTCCCTGGTCCCAGTCACCTCATCTACAACCAAGTGTTAACTTCCTTCCCCATCAAACATGGGGTCTTCTTCCTGTACTTCCACATGAGACAATGCTACTACCCCCACCCCTCACCTGCCAGGTCATGTCACTTCTGGTGCAGCGAGTCCTGCAGCTTCTCACAGCGCCTTTTCTTCTCCCTATGTTCTCACAGCACCCTACCTTCCAGGATAAAAGCCTGACTTTGCACTGCGCGAGACTGCTCTCATGCACGCAGCCACCTCACCAGCCCGTCTCTCCCCAGGGACCTCTCAGGTCACTCATTCTGAGCTCCCGCATGGTTCTGCCCATTTCAGACGCCCGTCCCTGTCTGCTGGGAGTGGCCTTGTCACCCTCCCGGCCCAGGTCACTCGGCATCCCCTCTGCGCAGATCTCAGCTGCTGAGGGCAGTGAGTGCCCCCAGCCTAGGCCCACGGCCGCTACATTCACACGCACAGTGGCTGCTCCGGCTCTCTACTGCATTAGCTGCTACTGAGTCCCCTTCAGGCAGAGGTATGTTCTTTGCTCTCAGATAAGTCTCAATGAATGAGTATTTTTATCCTGAAACAAAGCTTTATCGTTTAGGACTTTTAGCTTATTCTCAATTTGACTACTACTTGTAAAGAATAAAACAGCTACCTCTATTTCTTTCGCTGTGTCAAGGGTCCTAGGCTGGCTCTCATCTTCAGGTGATGACTGTGAGGATAAAGAAAAACAATCTTTTAATGAAAAAATACATGCAAAGGCAAACATTAAGGAAAACAGAAAACTCAACGAATTTCACTGCAAGAGAAAGAAGTACTAAGAATAGAAACCTCAGGACTACAACTTTTTAAAGCAAAATGAATTAAACATAATTATTAACATTCTGAAGTATTTTGTGAGTTGAGATACATCTATGCCTGATCAAAAAGCTACACTTTAAACAAGCATCAGTATCTCAATCAGTGGAGTCTGCTTTCAAAAGCAAGTAAATCTCTGACGAGGAGAAGACAGGAAGGAACCCAAGGGACGTCTTCAATTACCAGAGATCACAGCAGATGATTATGCACAGAGAACGTGAACGCCTCCCAGTCCCATTCTTAGAGATAATGCACATGTAAACAAGAGACAAATGTCACGGACAGCAAACAGAAACAGTAAGGCTGGACTGCGATTTATTTACCCAACTGTCAATTTCTACAAATTATAATTACATTACATATTAACTCTTTTTTCCTAGGATAAATTCTGAAAAGAGGAACCGCTGGATTGAAGGGCAGAGAAATCTTGCATTTTGAAACATGTCAGATTCACCAAA